TTCATCAAACTGATTAATCCTTTTTAAATAAGTATGTTTCTAATTACAGAGCAATATTTAAAGATCTGCCTGCTAATTTAGAGAAACTAATTTCTTGACTGTGGTGTACAGAAGTTCGATAAATTGGAACAGAAGAATTCTCCATACTGCACTCAAATAGCCACAGTCATTTTTACATCCTAGCAAAAGAGTTTGCTTAGACAGAAAGCGTAATCTAAACTGCTTATCTGAAGGCATTTACAATGAAAGCCTGCATTTTTGTGCCCCTTCATATCTATGCATGCTTATTGATTTGTTAAGCAGACAGATTAAATGTCTTGTCCCAAAATAGATATACATGAAGCTGTCTTATGCCGAGTTGGGCCACTGGTCCACCTAGCTAGGTCAGTGGTGTCTACTTTGACTGGCAGTGACTTTCCAGAGGCTCAGGAAAAGAAAGGTCTTTCCCAACAATGCACCACTATATGAGATACTTTAAGAGGAGATGCTGGGATAGAAACATGGGGCTCCGCTTGCAAAGTTTGTGGCCTGCCACTAAGCCATGACCCCTCCCCAGTAGACAAGGCACCATTGCATTCCCAATCTCTAGGACACCACATTTGATTTACGATATGCATTCCTTCAGTAACTAATGGGGAAAAAAAATATTGCTGCTATTCTAATGAGAATTTGAATGACTTAACATTCTTTTAGATTCATTGTTGTGGCTATTTTGGTGTTCAATTGTCTGGTTAACAAAATTCAAACAAAACCCCTGAGAGGCTTCACTGGCAACAGTCGCAGTGGAACCAGCCTTAATCTCAGTTTGCATAAAACCAAGACAATAAGCACTGCGAGACAAGAAGACAGAGAAAAGGGGAGAAATGAAAGTAAAGTTTCTCCTTTAATGAAAATGTAAAAACCTATACAGATTTCAGACGGATCGTATGATTAAATGTTGCTTCCCTGAACACAGATAGCTAGGCGTCAAGGAGAATTATTCTAGTCCACCTTTTTGACACATAGTGCTTTTTAATGTTTTGTTTTGTTTTGTTTAAGTTGCACCTTCAAACAGGCAACTGCTACCGTCCCAGACATACAACTGCTGCATGGACAGAAGGATAAAACCAGGTCTCTGTTTCTGGTGCCTTTTTTACCCATACTTCTCGCTGACCTGATAAGCCTGTATCTGAGCTATTCCACTTCAGAGTGCAGACAGGGGCTCACATGATGGAATGCTCCTGTACATACAACCACCCCACCATCACAAATAGCATGCTGAGAGGGGTAGACTAGAGCTTTCCCTCCAGAGATTCTAGGCCAGGGGTGCCCAACACCTTTACTGGTCTGGTGCCCACGTGTTTTTAGAAAGTTGGCAGAGTCAGGTGGGGCTTTTGCCCAGCAGGGCTTCTGACTAGCCACTGGAGATCTGATTGGCTGTGCAGACGAATTCTGTTGGCAGAAGCTGCCACCACAGCACAAGGATCTTCTCTGCATAGCTGAAGGTAAGCTGGGTGTGAGCAAGAAAATACTTTAAAACAATATGTTCAAGTTTAAAAGGCATCCGGTTAAGCAGAGCTTCTGCCCGAAATGTTAAAGACTTACCATTAGAGTTATGCATAACTTCATTCCCTGACATTTTGTGTGTGGCTCTTCCATATGTCCCTTTGTGCCAACTATGGCCATCAGGCAGCCATTTGTTGGCTACTTCACCACTTGAGAGCACGCCTGGTGTAACGGTTAAGAGCGGCAGACTCTAATCTGGAGAACCGGGCTTGATTCCCCACTCCTCCACATGAAACCAGCTGGGTGACCTTGGGCCAGTCACAGTTCTCTCAGAACTCTCTCAGCCCCACCTGTCTCACAAGGTGGCTGCTGCAGGGAGAGGAAGGAAAAGGTGACTGTAAGCCACTTGGAGACTCCTTAAGGCAAAGAAAAGCAGGGTGTAAAAACCAACTCTTCTCCTTCTACCCTCACTGCTCTATGCACAGGGAGCTGCATTGGGACAGGTTTTTCTTTTTTCCAAAGGAACCTTCCTTAGTCTATCCATCTCTGAACTCATCAGTACTGTTTGGTCTGTATGGATAGCTTGCCTCAGGCCACAGCATTCTACTGGGAACTGACATTTACTTTGAAGAAGCAGCTAGTCTCAGACTGAGAATTACTGTTCATCTTCCTGAGGCACTTTATACACGACTCATTCCCATGACAAATGAAATGCTCACTCCTCTGCTGACTCTGCAGAGTGCATTGTCTAGTCACAGACACCTCTACTTTGAACCTGCTATCTGCTATTACATGTATTGTTTACTTTTTACTGGTCTAATGAAATTGGGATTCCTTTTGCAGAAAAATATTTTAGACTTGGATCCTACCAACTTTTCCGCTGTCTATGGAGGGATGCAGGAAGGACCTTTTCTGATAATTGAAAAAGCTGTATCCAGGACTGTGAGATCCATATGAATAAAAGCCAGGATGGCAGGGATCAAGTACAATGGAGCAGGAAAACTGAGAGATTCAAACCCTTTATATTTTGTGATCGTTGCTTGAAATTGTTAAATGAAAATCCTCAGAGATATGCGATGCTCTTCCTCATCCCTGGCTTTGGATTACTTTTCAGGGAAATTTTGCAATCAGAAAAAAAATTGCCAGTTTCCTTTGACCAATGAACAATCGTTAAAAGAAAAGATAGATTTTTTTTCCCAGGTTCACAAAGTGACCCATTATCCGACATTTCTATGTATCTCTGATGTACACATAGTCCTGAGTAAATAGAATCTGCAACATTCTGTTCATTTTAAAGCCATGCTGTACCCATGCTCTTGCATTCCACATGAAAAGTGTTGCCTGATATTGAGGAGAAAGGGGATGTTCCAGGCTCATAGCCACAAATCTTCTAAGTATTCCGGAAGTCTATGAAAACAGTGTGAGATCACCATTAATCAATATGATATCACAACTGGTCAAATCTAAGGAGACATTAATAAATTTATTCAATAGTCTTAATTAGAATTGTATAGAATCCTTATTGAGGATCCAAAGAGCCACGAGCAGAGCTCTGCTTACAGAACAGATCTTTCCCATCTCTCTGACTTCTACAACCCTCTAAACCCCCGTCCACCTCATGTCACCCAAAAAACTGCTTCTGAAAGGTGAGGAAATCTCTGGAACAATGTGGGATGAGGTATGGGAGACAGATGGAGAAATCTGAAAGAAAAATAGAGACTTATCCCCCCCACACCCTTTGAGTGAGCCTAAATATCTTTTATGTTGTCGAAGGCTTTCACGGCCAGAGTTCATTCGTCGTTGTAGATCTTCCGGCCTGTATGGCCATGGTCTTGGCATTGTAGTACCTGACATTTCGCCAGCAGCTGTGACTGGCATCCTCAAAGGTATAATACAGAAAGATAGAGTACTCTCTGTGTCAATGTGAGAAGAAAAATGGTAGGCAGGTAATTTATATCTACTCAGAAAGGTGGGGTAGGCCTGAGTAGGAGTTCCCAAGGCTGTGACATGCGAGTATCTTTTGTTTGCACAGGGGAACTTTGGATTCAGCCTAATACTTCTGTTTTGAGTCTTGAGTACCCAATTACTTGTTGTCATTCCCTTTCCTTTGTTATGATTCTTATTGAGGATTTAGGCAGAGTACCAAAAGAACATTTATTTCTTCTCTGCCCATAAATGAAATGGCTGGAAGTGTAGGGTATGATCCCTCCCCTGAAAGGTGCAGGTGCCTAATCAAAAAGTGGCATGGGGCTCAAAAGAGGTTTGTCTGCCTGTGCCCCATGCACACCTGCATAACACAATGTTCTGCTGGTAATGAGAGGCCTATGTGCATCTCTCATGTCTCACCCAGTCCCCTACTTTTTATGGACTGAAGTTACACTATTGAGCCATGTGCCAATCCCTCTAAGCATAGAGGGCCATGGCTGTGTAGAGACAAACTGTGCCACTACTTTGTAAATAAAATATTAAAATTACCAAGGCCATGGCTCTGGGCTTGCCCATAGTACCACAGTACAGCCAGGTCTCCCACCTCCTCTGAGTCTGCCTGCTGCTGCCCATCTGGGAAGTGGGAGGGAGAATAGGGGATGATTGTCTCCTTCAGGTAATCGTGTAATGATCTAGCATCAGGTAATGTGCTAGCATTCACCAAAACTCTGTGGTTAAACAATAAAGTTTTGGGCAACTGCTAGATGATGACATCACTTCGGAGTCCTGCCAGAAGTTACATCACAACATAACTGGTGAGGAAACCGCCCCCCCCCAGTTAAGTCTCCTATCAGTTCCCAACCTCAGGCTGGTAATCCTATACCATAGTGACAACCTAGTCTCAAGTTAAGTGTGAAGAATCCTGTTTGCACTGAGCTTGTGTGTGGAACTCTGTACTAGATTGTGGCTCATAGGGGTCACCAAAGTCACCTAACTAAGGTACTTCTTTCTAGAAGACAACTGATTCTCCATAATGCCTAGTAATCTCTTGGTTACATTTTACCTTTTTTCTACTACAATGATGGCAGATGTTTTTATTATATCCCATCAGAGATTAGTACACTACCTTTCTGTTTTTCCCTATAGTGTACAGTATAAAAATGTGTAATATGAATGATACAGCATGGTTCCTAAAAAAAAGAAAGAAAGGCTGGCCCCTTGTCAAACCTCTTTGATGAAGCTATCAATAAGGAATGTCACTTTAAATCTACACGAATGCCCAGAATGACCCCAAAACAAAACTTGAATCAAGTTGCTGGGTTTTTTAACCTTATCTATACTATATATCTTCCACTTTCCCTTCCTGGCCAAAGACAGCATGCAATATCAACAATATTATTCATTTTTAGAGAGGGGAAAAGAATGAATCCCACAGCATTTCTTTTTAATAACTGTTCAGCTACAAAATTTTATTGGTATCCTTTTATGTTCCCTCTAGAGGATGTAATGCACAAAAGCATTGCCACGGAACATATAAAATTACAAATGAAATTTATTGTAAAAAGTAGAATGTCTTCTAGACGGGTGTCAGTATTTATTTTCATTCATAAAACAGAACCAAAAAAAATTGCAGGTATAATATATTCATTTGTCAGCAAGTTCATGGGTGTAAATTGCCATCCAACGTTATTGACTGATATAAGACAGATATTGAAAAGACAATTTAAATTTACTCTTCCAAACATAAACTGTTCCACAAAAGCACTGTAAAAACTCCTTTCATGGTTTTTCTTTTTTAATTTTTTTTTTCTGTTGTGCTTCACACTTATGGTTAACTACATAATTTGGTTGTGTCGTAATCCACTGTGTTTGGCAATTTGGCATTGAAGGCCTGCAAAGCAGATTGAATTCTCACCACCTCACTGGTAGACAGCTTGAGTCTATGACGCAGCAGGCATGAGAAAAGGTCTAGACGACGTTGGCCAGGTGGAGAGAGTTTATTTACACGGTCCCGTATCTCTAGTAGCTGCAAGAGCGCAGAGTCCTGGGATCCCTGAGTATAGGGGTAGTCCAGCTGCAAAATCAAGTCCCGGATTGCTTCCGGATCAAAGTGCATGCTGTAGCCGAACACTTGGATGTTGTTGATTTTCATATAGCCCAGGTTCCGGGAGGGATCAATAAACTCCAGGGGTTCATAATAAATGCTCTCGTTGCCATTGGGACCATTTGACTTTATGCGACTCCTCAGGTAGATGTGTACCGTTTCAAAAAACGTCTTCCACTTGTTGCCTAGAGTCAGCGTCCAGTTATAACACTGAAGGGGTAAGTCCAGTTTAGTCCGCTCCCAGTCTGGGAAACTATTTTCATTGACAGGCATAAACCAACTCTCAGAGTGGCTGCCTCCAAAAGGGTTGACATAAACAGCCAGGACAGGCTCCAAGGTGCTGTTCTTAGTTAGGCAAATTTGAAGAGAGAGACCCAATATCATATGGACCAAGCTTGATTTGTACTTGTTACTCTTTAGGGTAAGGAGCATCCGTTTGCGCCAGGAAGGGTCAAACCAACTATTAAGACGCATGTCATTGCTGATGAAGATGGCATGGACCTCAATCCGGCGGTCTGTTTTCTGTAATAAATACTTCATCTCCAAATCCTGGAGATCAGTCTCAAACCCAATGTAGTGCTCTGTTGAGTCTGCCACTTCAGGCTTGCAGAGTCCTTGGCTCAGCATGTACCCAGTATTACAGGTCCCACAGCGGGTACGGTTATCAGGGGCACAAGTTAAGCAGGAGGAACCATCTCCTACGATGCACGGTAAAGAGCCAAGGCAGGCAACCTGGTCATTAGGGCATGTGCATGAGTGAGTCTCTTCAGAAAAGCTGCCCAGAAGGCCATTTTCATTGCAGTAGAGAAAGGCCTGGATGCGGTTAAGCCAATTGAAGATCTGTGAAGCAAACAAGAAATTGATGAATACCAAGGGAGATGAAAATCAAAGCAATACAACCAAACATTTTCAAAAATCACTTTGAAGGAACAATATAGCATCTGGCAGGATGGAGACATTTCCAGACACAGTAGAAGAATGGGGCATAGCTTGGGACATTCCTAATTCAAACCCAGTGCATACATTGGAAGTTCTTAGGCAAGTCACTGCCTCTTGCTTGTTGTCCACAGTAGTCCATAAGACGATTCACTAAATGATGATAGACTTCTGCCACTGGGAACTGAGGTAGAGCTGAAAATTACTCTCTGATGGAAAACACTGTAGTGGAAAGACAGGAATTGCTGGCTCAGAACCATGCAGATCCATGGCTGTTGAGCAGTACCGCTGCCCAGTGTGTGTGCAAGATTGGATGTAGGTGGCCCACAATGGTGCTACTAGTCATAAGAACATGAGGGAACAAGGCACAAGGCAAAGAGTTTATTCAGCTCTTACGGATCCCTACGCATTTTGCTATAAGCTTCGTCAGGGGATCTTCTGTAAAAGTTTCGAACTTAAGCCTCTGCTGCAAAAGTTTTTTAGCTTCTAGTTTTCTCCCATGCCTCTGCTGCCTTGCTGTGCCTTCCCAGTAACACCTTTGGATTCTTATCCCCTTCTTCTCTCAGCAAAGAAGCTTATTAGCCTCTGGTGAACCACCTCATAAAATATCACTGGTCTCAGTCCCATATACAAACAGGAAGAAAATACTACTATGAACCATACCTTACAAGTCTATTTTAAGGATTAACACTTTGAAACATTAACACTTTGAAAATCTACATGTTACTGTCACACCTGAATTAAGTAATGTTATGCATTTTTAGGTGTGACAAATTAGCACCATAATTGTTCATATACTGACACAACAACATCGTTTGCTTGATGCATCTTTCCCACTAATTTCTATCAGTAACTTCTGACATGAAAGTACCAGTCACAGGTCAACAGAACCCAGATTCCAGTTGTTCCACAAAACCAAACAAATACAAAAACAGTCTTTGGGGATGCCTCATCTCCCACTCTTCCCTTAAGGTATAATGTAACAGCACGCAAATTCATGGATGGCATATCCATCAATGGCTATCAGATAAATACAGCTAAATCAAACCTCCATGGATATAGCAGTGAAAGATCAATACTGTTATGACAGCCAGTGCAGTACAGTGGTTAGAGTGCTGGACTATGATCTGGGAGACCCAGATCGTCCCCACTCTGCCATGGATGCCCACTGGGTGACCTTGGCCCAGTCACACACACTCAGCCTAAGCTGTGAGGATAAAAGGAAGGTGTGGAGAACTATGTAAGGCACTTTGGGTCCCCACTGGGGAGAAAGGCAGGGTATAAAAGAAGTAATTGAATGAATGAATAAATAAATAGATAAACTTTCCCGCGCTATTGGCTAACTCTCCTAGAAGCATGTGCGAAGCCAGTCTCAGGATGTTGGAAAAAACCAACTTTGGTCTGATCCAACAAGCAATTCATATGTCCTTGTGGTCTCCTGGGACTGAATCTAAGACCTTGAGAGCTCCAAGACAAAAACATTTTAACTTTTTCAATCTCATTGAGCACCTTGATGCGTCACTGGCAGTCTCTTCTTCAAGCTGGATTGAAAGGCCAGCAAGTCTGGTGTTCTGTTTTTAACTTAGTTTGTTATTAATCAATTGGTGAAGCTGCCTTATACTGAATGAGACCCTTGGTCCATCAAGGTCTACTTAGATTGGCAGTGGCCCTCCAGGGTCTCAGGTGGAGATATTTCATGTCACGTATCACCTGAACCCTTTTAAGTGGAGACGCTGGGCACTGAACCAGTGACCTTTTGTATGCAAAGCAGAGGCTCTACCACTAAGCCAGTCCCCCCTAAATATTTATCATGGGCAAAACCAGGGGTCGTTTCATAGAAAAAGAGATAGGGAAACTCATTAGCATAACTCATTAGCATATGCCACACCCCCTGACATCACCGGAAGTGTGTCATTAGGCCACACACACCACCCCCAACGGTCCCGGCCGCCGCCGGCAGCCTTGCAGCTCCACTGCCAAGCCCCATGAGGGGCCCAGCGGTGGACCTGCAAGGCCGGCGGGAGTGCAAGGAAGCCCCGCGAAGGCCCTCCCTGGCCCCAGGCAGGCAGAGGTGGAGAGAGGCAGGGAGGAAGCAACTTACCCTCCCTCTTCTCCTGCCTCCTCCTGGCTGAATGAGGGCCGGAAGCGGGGCGGCCAGAAGCAGAAGGCGGGGCTTTGTCATGTGCCCTGCCCCCATACCTCACCCGGGGGAACTGCGATCCCCCGCGATCCCCCCCAAAATGACCTCTGGGCAAAACACATGCCATTCAGGAGGGGACAATTGTTCATTTGAGGTTACAGTCACGTGCCTCCTAAACTGGTGCATCAATCTTTCATTCTGTTATACAAGCCCAGCTGCTATGATTTGCAAGTCATCAGTCTGACAAGGAACCAACCTTTTGTTTCCCCTGGAATAGTAAGAAGTACTGATGTTGTCCCAGTCATAATTTTCTGAATGGACTGTAAGCACAATGTTCCTATTGTTGACTAGATGAATATTCTCTGCAGCTTTTTTTACCATGTGCAAAACAGATTAATTAAGATATTCTTTTATGTTTGTGCCATCTCATTTCTCCCTTTCAGGTCCAAAATCAGCCAACAATTGGAGCTTACAATGGAATCTGGAAACCGGATTGGATGAGCAGAGTTTCCAGGAAAACAGACAAAGCAGAAATGACAAGACTCTAAAAATGGTGCAGAGAAACAACAGTCTTCATTGCTTTTTGCATTTTCCAGATGCTCTTCCCCATCCTAGAGAAGCATGGATTGAAGCACAGATTTTGGCAGGGGTTAGGCTAGATTCTATTTAATATTGATGAGGAGTTTTGCATACTCTTATGTAGTACAAAACCTGCCGTGATGCAGAAAATACACGAGGCCAAATTGCACTTGATTTAACAGACAAGCAAGTCAGCATTTAATGGCTGACACCCCTCTAAACTATAAAGAGGATCTTAACAGTGAAATCAAAGAATGACAAAAAAACAGCCTCTGAGAAAAATCAAAAACATTAAACCCAATTCAGACATTTATTTGTGAGGCAGTGACAGTGTATGCAGCTTCTGCAACTCCATTTTGGTTTTCTGCTAATGCCTGACCTCTAGTTGCCTGGGAGGACGGCCGGCAGGCTGCTCCTAAGAGAACATTTCTACCTATTTTCATTAGTACTTTTCTGAGTTCTTATCTAAGAAAACTGACTTGTTTTTTTCAGCTACTAGGTACCAGTTGCAAGATATGGCTTGGCTTTTCTCAGCGTTTAGGAATGCAGCTTTGATTGATGATATTCTTGATTTGTAGCCAGCAATTAGGATATAAAATGTTTAGTTTTAGCTATGTATCTCATCTTAGGTTTGGCTAGCTTCACTGATTACAATCCCTTTGTAAGTATACCTGGACCTTGACTATTGTTTTCCTGGGATTGCTGTGAACCTTGGGGCTTCTTGTCAGGGCTCCAAACAGATTGCGAAGATGGGTATTCATGCCCCTCAGCTACTCACGGACCTCAAGCAATGTCTGATGTCAGCATACCACTCAGAGTCTCATATATAATTCCTGTCTACTGAGGTGGGAAAATTGTGCTAAATCAGATTACCATATTCATGGACTCCCACACGCAGTGCCTTTGTCACACATTACATGAAGTGCACAGTTGTTGTCTACACAAATTCACAAGGCTACTGATCTTTGGGCCATCTAGCCTAGTATTGTCTATCTTGACTGACTGTAGTTCTCCAGGGTCTAATAAAGGGGTCTTTCAAACCACCTACTGTCAGGTCCCTCAACTGGAGATGCTAGCATTTGATACTTATCCACATCTGAACTAGGGCATAGGTAGATCAATCCCTCCTGTTCAATTCCTAGATGGTTTGTTTTGGTACTATGTAATATTTATTGAGGGCAAAGTATGATTTACACATTCAGCAACACTTTATACAAGAGGAAATGTTGAAAAATTAATGTAGATTTATGTTGTATGCCTTTTGATTTGAAATCCTGTTTAAGTACAAGTGTTTAAGTATAAGTGCACCTGGACAGGTTCAAATCTCCACTCAGCCATGAAGCTCATAAGTCGGTTTAAGTGCAATTGTTTTAAGTACAAGTGCACCTGGACAGCTGTTTAAATACAAGTGTACCTGAACAGGTTTGAATCTCCACTCAACCATGAAGCTCATATATCCAGCCCTTCCCTCTCAGCCTAAATTGCTTCTTGGAGTGGGTGTGAGGATAAAATGAGCAGAGGGGACTACATACATTGCCCAGAGCACCTGGGACAAAGGGTGAAATAAAACATAGATGGATACTGGTGCTTCCTATTTATAAAAGCAGGGTAAAAATGAAGTGGAACAGGGACAGAGAAACGCAAAATGTCACACAATTTTCCTTACTTGATATTAAAAGAGAGAAAGCGGAAAGATATATTAACCTGTTTATATGCTGTTGAGAACAATTTCAAGAGTAAGAGAGGTAGGCATTAAAACTAACACCAAAAGTACAAAGAGATAAAGAAGCGGAGGTGTATGTGTGTACAGATGTCTTGAGCAACCTCATTTGTTATAAGCTCCCTCCTGCCTCTTTCTTCAAGAAGCTCACAGTTGTTCTTTAAATCCAGTTACATGGATTGTGCCAACAACCTACAAAGTGCTGCCAGTCTCAGGGGATAAGGCATTCTCTTCCCTATTCTTGGCACTGCCAACTCTGACCTGAGAAATTTCTGGAGATTTGGGGACAGTCTCTGTGGAAGAGGGAATTTGGGAAGTGATTTCACCTAGAATATTTGGTATATTTGGTAGAATTTGCCCTCTAGAGCTGCCATTTTCTTCGAGGCAACTGATTTCTATAGTCTGGAGATCAGTTATAATTCCAGGAGAATTCTAGGCCCATCTGGAGGTTGGCAAGC